AAGTGCGATAATTAATTATTACAATTTTATGTTAAATACTTAAATGATAATAATAGTTAGAGGCTAAAATTAGAGTGTTTCTTGAGGAATTAGGTCATTCGGGCGATCACGTTGGAGGTGGCGTTGTGTAGGTGGTCTGATGTTGATGTGGTAGTGTAATGAGCCTGTTTATAGTATAATAGTATAATAATTATCTAGTATTTTTATATATCTGTGGTCCGTGGATTAAACATATATGTTTAATCAATGATACCACCGAGCAGATTTTAAAATTCGTATTATTATTGTTCTATGGTATTTTTATTGGTGCACACGGCACACCACACTACACCATATGGCGCTTGCCGCACGGTGAGCAAATTATTTGCGTACGATTTTTAATCGTCCGTTACTCCGTAGTCCGTTCCTTAGGATAGAATAATATTATTATTATCTTAATTATTAATATTCATGTGGTGTTCTGTTTTTTGTTTTTTTTTTGTATAGTGCTACACACACACGCACGGAAAATATTAATATTATAGTGTATGCGCTCGTTCGGTTAATTATATCGTTATTAGTTTTATCCTTTTCTCATAGTACCTACATCGATTTATTGTTTTTTTAATATTATTAATATTACTGCACACCGCGTCACCGGCCGCCGCGACGCTGTCGAACTGTCGAAGCCGTTCTCGACGCGCGCGTTGTTTGGATAATACTATAGTCGTGGCACAGATTTAATGAAATTAATTTTCATTCGACCTGTGGTCGTGGTCACGTCTGTTGAATAAGTGTCTTCTTGTACCGTTGTTTGTTGTCGGTAATCAGTTGCACTCGTCGTCGTATACGACGCCCGACGCCGAGAATCGCTTCTCCCACGCCGACATCGTATCGACGCAGCGTCTACAACGACATCACCGCCGTCACCATATCCGAATATACCGCGTACCTACTACCCGGCACCTAGAAACGCAACGAAGTAAGAATTTTGACAGAATAGCGAACATATTTTGCAAATTATTTTAGTTGGAAATTCTGGTGCACGTGTCTTATACTATGTAGAGATATCTATGACTTGTGCCATCCAAGTAACGTGTGTGAAGTTGGGTGACCAAAGCTGTGTGACCAATTTTTAGTGATAAGAAAACTTGTATGCTCGGTTGCATAATGCATTACGGTATTTTCTAGGCGCACAACGTTTATATTGCCGTTTGTATGTCTACTTCTATTTCTAACCACAAGATATCAGTAAAGGAATTGTCACGAAATATTATAAGGTCACCTACCCATCATAGTATTGTGAAATGACGCCGCGAAGCCAGGACATAGCACTATATACATGTCAGCCATACGACGCGTAACGTATAGGCGAGCGTGGTTTTTGATTTTTCCGGCAGTGTTCCGGAAGGAGTCGAAGGACTTAACATAGATATTCGAAATCCAGGAAAATTTACTACCCGACGAGATAAATTTCAAGAACCACCGGGCTTTCTAAGTAACCGTACTTAGTGCACAAAGGCGCCAGGTGACTAATGCCGGTATGACGCGAAACGTATAGGCGCGCGTGGTTTTTGATTTTTCCGGCAGTGTTCCGGAAGGAGTCGAAGAACTTAACATAGATATTCGGAAAGCCAGGAAAATTTACTACCCGACGAGATAAATTTCAAGAACCACCGGGCTTTCTAAGTAACCGTACTTGGTAAACGAAAGCGCCAGGTGACTAATGCCGGTATGACGCGAAACGTATACGCGTGCGTGGTTTTTGATTTTTCCGGCAGTGTTCCGGAAAAAGTCGAAGGACCCAATATAGATATTCGGAAAGCTAGGAAAATTTACTACCCGACGAGTTAAATTCCAAGAACCACCGGGCTTTCTAAGTAACCGTACTTGGTAAACGAAAGCGCCAGGTGACTAATGCCGGTATGACGCGAAACGTATAGGCGTGCGTGGTTTTTGATTTTTCCGGCAGTGTTCCGGAAGGAGTCGAAGGACCCAACATAGATATTCGGAAATCCAGGAAAATTTACTACCCGACGAGTTAAATTCCAAGAACCACCGGGCTTTCTAAGTAACCGTACTTAGTAAACGAAAGCGCCATGTGACTAATGCCGGTTTCCCACCTTTTTTTTCTTTTGTTTTTCCTTGCTCTTTGAAAACTATTGAGAAACCTCCCGAAGTCAAGAATGAACCAACTAGATTCACTTTCCTGCCTGATAATACAGCTTAAATAGGTCCTCTATATATTATACTACTCTATGCCTTAGACCAATAAAGTATAAACTAATGAACAGCGTTTAGAGAAAGAAGTCTGAGGTATGCTTAGATAGTTAGATCATAATATTAAATATACTATATTATAGTGTACTAGTATATTACTATATTATAGTATACTAGTATATTACTATATTATGATCTAAGGGGGTACCTACGTTATAGTCGTTATAGAGTGAGCATTGAAAGAAAAAAAACAGTAAAATGTATATAGTTCCTTAATATGCAGGCTCTAATATATATATTCTCTAGTATATAAGGAGCCTCCTATTAAATTTTCAATCTTTTTTACCCAACAAATAAATTGGTATTGATATTTATAGAAAAAAAAAAAACTAAAAAAATTGAAAATTGAAAATGTCCGTAAACAGCTCAAAAAGAGTCAACATATTTTCAACATTCTATGATGTATAGGAAATGCTAATATAAACATTCAGTGAAATTTTCATGTATTTACAGTTATTTGTTTTTGAGTTACAACAAAAAAAGGAAATCGCTACATGAGAAATCGAGTGAATATCCAATGTTGTAAAAATTTGAATTTCAAACGCTCATAAAAATTTAATTTGGCTTTCCGGTATAGATTTTTTTATTGATAAAGGTAGATAAACTTATAAGGAAACTTGTATTACATTTAGGTATTACATTTACCTATGTATCTATAAACAGCTCAAAATATTTTGAAAATGTTATCGTGTATAGAAAATGCAAATATAAACAACCAGTGAAAATTTCATGTATCTACGGTCATTTGTTTTAAAGTTACACCAAAAACCAAATTCAATTTTCTGAAAAATCGATTTTGATCGAAATTCCCGTTTTTCCTTAATTTTTCTTTTGTTTTTCTTGGCGCTTTTGAAAAGTACCGGGAATTTTAAATTTTGACCTCCCCAATGCACCAACGATATTCACTTTCCAATCGAACAAGATACTGAAGTCGAAAATCGAAGCACTTTTACTGTCCTTAAAGGTAATGACAGACACAACAAAATTTAAAAAAAAACACATATTATTATATCATACAATTATGATGAAAATAAAAAAAGCTTTAAAAAAGCAAAAAATTATTCTAATAATTATCAAAATTATTTGAATGTTTGGCATCAACAGCATCTAAATTGTGAATACATAATGAAATTAGTCTATTATAATATATTATTTTTACATCTTATTAGGTAAAATAAAAATTAAAAAACAAAATTAAAATGAATATATAATATACTTACCTACATTGGCTACATTAAAATAATATTAATGTAATTTGTGATTTCCAATGAACAATTATTGAGCTAGATAGGTACTTGAAAATGTTAATCACCCTTCTGCTTGGGAAAAATAACAAGTTGTACACAGTAAACTGTGTTAAAATTGTTGGACATTATCAAAACTTATTCACATAAATGTTAATAAATATAATTTTTTTATGGTAATAAAATAATTAGGCGTGGCTACATGATTAAAAATTAAAATATGCTGATATTCTGTTTGAAGAATGTATATAATATATTATATTGTCTGATGTATAATATCCGCTACAAGCAAACAAGTTATTAGTAATAGATTTATAAATCCAAAAATATTAATAACAATATTTAATATTGTGGTAGGTAGGTACATGAATATCATGAGTACCTATAACGACTATATAACTTATAAGCTACAAATCATTGGTGCAAATAAGGGGGGGAGCGGGAGAGGACTTAATCCCCCAATTATTCAAAGGTCCGTACTTAGTACTAAGCATATTATAATTTTAAGAAAATAATATAGGAAGATCGTGAGGGTTTAGTCCCCCACCTGCAAAATATTGGGCTATTTGCGCCTATGCTACGAATAATAATATATTATACTTAGGACCGGTTTTTCAATCACCCAACTATAAATTCGTTAAATAACTATTCGTTGAATAAACCTATTCAGCAAATAAACTTCCAAATAAAACAAAAAATTATGACAACTGTTTTTCAATATAAATTTATTATTCGAATAGTTATTCGGAGAATAAAACTAATCAGTAGATGATAATGATAATATGTATAAGAAGTTGTGCATTGTGGAACAAGTTGAAGAGTTCTGATCCATATTCTAATTGGTTGAAATATCTCATCAGTGATAAGACAATATTATCAAAGAAAAATCTGTATATTATATTTTATATTTAATTTTTTAATTTTTTATATTTATTTATTTATATAATTATATTTAAATACCATTTATACATTCAGTTCCACATTATTTGAAATTGCTTATTACTTATTAGGTAATAAGGGAAAAATATCAATTAATTTACAACACTCCCAAAACATATTATAAAAGATTGCCCTTATAATATACTAATATTTTATTACCTGGATCTTGTATTTTTACATGGGTGTAATCAATAGCACCAATAACTCTAGGAAATTTAGCAATATCATAAAAACGGTTCTGTAATGTATTTATTTCTAATTCTGTGTCTGGCATTTTTATGAACCGTGGCAGCAGTCTTGGTAATGCAACACTGACATCACGAACAATTAAATGATATTGCTAAATGATATTTAATGATATTAATTAATTAATTAATGATGATGTAGTTTTGATTACTCCCAAAAAATCTCCAGCAGTTATTAAAAAATTTCCAGTAGCATAAAATCGTAAAGTTAAAAGCAGTTTGTTTATGGTGTTACGGCATGATTTCATTTAACATTTACAAATTACAGAATACAAAATTTGATATACCAATTATTTTATTATTGTATAGATAATCACCTATATGATTGTGAAGATATTTGCTCATTTATATATCCTAAAACTTCAATAACTACTTCTTTGGAGATTCTAAATCTAACTTTAAAGTCTTGATCGTCCCAAAACTCCATATGGTTAATTCGTACACAAATTGTGTACGTACGTCGTTGATAATTTAAAAACTCGACAATTTCAACATCGTCATCTTCGATAATTTCTAATACCGGCAATACCAATAATTCCATCATCATAATTAGGTATCAAGAATTTTAACGAACACGGGACAAAAGAAAAGACACAACAAATTTAAATAATATTATTGAATACTATTATCATTGATTTTAAATTTGTAAATTGTAATTGCTGTAGATATCAATTTTTGGTAGTTATTAGTCAAATAAGTTCTTATAACTTTTTGTAAGTCGAAAAAAACACTGGTTCCTGTTATATTATAATAGTTCGATACTTCGATGCGATTATTTTATTGTTAGCCACTAAATTTTACAGTTTTTTACGTTTTTTTTTTATGTTTTGAGTTGTTTTCCATTGTTGAGACAGATAAAAATTAATTAATGTACCCATTAATATCTAAAATTATAAAAACTACCTATAAAACAATAATTAATAATCATGGTTCATATTATATATTTTATACAATGTTGTACCTACATTTATTTAATGTTATTTTCTTTGAAAATTGAAACAAAATTTATTTTATATATTGGTATTAGTTATTATAAGTACCTAGGTACTTACTTTTAACAAATAATAATGATTTATTTTGGTTAATACTTTATAACTGTGGTAATTGCAAAAAATATTTCCAACACATATACTTTGTTATAGTTTATAAGACGTATAATATTGTTAAATTATTAATTTAAGATTCATCATTATGATGTTCACAGTTTATATACAGCTAATAACTGAAATTTAAAATTGTTAAGAATAAAAATAAACTTTTACTTTATACTTGTTTTATTTAAGTTTTACTATTATTATTTATTTTTTAGGCCCCCCACAAGGCCACGACTATGTGAGCAATTCCTAATATTGTAGCACCCCAAAGATTTGAACTCTAGTTGCGCCACTGCACACAGGTGCAACCAATTCGCTGCACCCAAATATTTATTTAAAATGCTTTATTTAGGTTTTTTTGTTAGGGGCACAATACGGTCTCTCCATGGATAAACTACAGCTTAGATAACCGTGATTATATTATTTTTATTATATTGGGCCACGGTCTCTTAGCGCACATTGATTATGCTTATGTTTTATATCTGATTTTGTACATACCACCTAAACCTATTATATTTGTTTTTAATTTTCTTATTAAAAACATGATTTACCTACTATGTACATTCGTCTATTATTGACACTTAAACAGAGGCGTTCTCAGGATATTTCAATGGAGGGGATGAAAAAAATGGTTACAAAATAACCGGTAAGGGTTTTGCCTTACAATTCCCATATTATAATAATGAATATTAAAAAAGCGGGTAAGTGGATGTCGCTCTGCTGTACAGTAGATTACAAGTTGGTAACTGTATAATGGGTTGTATTAAATTTGAATTCAATGAAATCATATCATTATACACGAAAAAAGATTCTGAGCGGAGACGGTTTTTTCAGTCTGGATATTTTATATTGTTATTATATTTTATTACAGCCTACGGCAGAACAACTTTTGATAAACGTGTACACCGAGCTGAGGAACTCCTCGACGGTGGTGACAATAACTCTGTCAGCTAATGACGATAATAACGTCAGCGGCCCTGCGGAAAAGCCGGACATCGGCTGAATACCTAAATAATAATTGTCATTTGTCATTTGTATATAATTTTAAAAAATGTAACTGTATGTAACTTGTAATTAAATAAAAATACGTAACTTGTATAATACTATAATATAAAAATGTATAGGTACCTAGAATATAGGATTTTTATGCTTTTTGCAAATGTATTGCATAACTATGAATTACACAAATAAACGTTTATTGTTATCTATTTAATATGTTTTTATTAAGTATTAATAAATTATTTGTTATTATAAAGAATGCGTCAACACGCTAGTGGAAAATTAATTTATGTGGCTTGTGAACATCGTGACTATAATATTATTGTACTGCGAAGGTATACTTTTGTTTTTTTCGACATTTAACGAAAAAAAAAATCGAAAAATTTCGATAAAATGTCTCTTATAGCTCAAAAATTTGAAAATATTTTGACAATTTTCGTTATGTACAGAATATGCTTATTATAGACCTGCAAGGGCCGTACATTTTCGGCCCGGCCCGGTCCAAAAAAAATTGTGAAAAAAAAGCCCTAGCCCGGTCCGAAAATAATGCTAAGCTCGTAAAAAGCCCAGTCCGATCCATCAATTTTATCCTCAAGCCCGACCCGGTCTGGTCCAAAAAATATTGTGAAAAAAAAATATAATATTATTATGGTATATAAATAGCTTTATTATACCCACAAATCAATATATTATTATATTCATTGTGGTTTTATCTACTATCCATAGAGTATACTCTATATCAGGGGTCACCAACTGGCTGACCGCTGTCCGGATACGGACCTCGAGCACTTTTTTTACGGACCACGAGCGCGTTTTTCATTTTACATTAAGTTCATACTCGCCAAACTGGCGAGGGAAACGTGCCATCGCCGGAGTGACGCGTATGATATTGACCAATGTAAATTAAAACGCGCGCTTACGATACGTCGCGTATGATACGCGTCCATGTGAAACGGGCCTTATCCACGGAATAGTTTTTATCTAGTTTAAATCCGATAATAAATAATAAGATAAGATCGTAACGTCGAGCATATTCTGTCTACACGTAGAACGCGTGTATAGTTCGCAGTAATCCGTATGCCCCGCGAAGCGAAAGACGAGCTCCGAGTATAGATAGTGTTCATAAGTTCAAACCGTTTACTGCACTGTGTGTGTTGACGTTCTGTTCGTGAAAAAAGAAAAGTAGAAGCTGAAAATCGACAGTTTCTCGCAGAATGGACTGATTTATATTGCTTTACATTACCTAACCGTGTTGGAGCTTTACCTGTTTGTTTGATTTGTCAACAAACAGTAGCCATCATCAAAAGTTCAAATCTGAAAAGACATGAGTCTAAACACAAATCATTTAGTGAAAAATACCAGGTAGGAAGTAATCTTCGTAAATCCAAAATTGAGAGTTTATATTTATCTTATTCAACATCGACTCAAATTATTAACAAGGTAATGAGTGAACAAGAAAAATGTACAGAGGCTTCTATGCGTATTTCATGGATACTTGCTAAACACATTAAACCGTTTACCGATGCTGATATAATCAAAGAATGTATGATTGAAGCTGGAAATGCGTTATTTGATAGTAAAAATGATATTATGGAGACTATTCGAAATATTCAGTTATCTACGCCTTCAAATACTCGAAATACAGAACTATTAGCAAAGGAAAATCATTCTAATTTAATACAACCTTTATCGGCCACGGGTTATTATGCTTTAGCTACCTATGGATGAATTGTGTGATAAGACTGATACAGCTCAGTTGTGTATTTTTGTATGATATTTCGACAATACCAGTGAACATAGTTTGTTGAAGAAATATTAACTATTTTACCACTGTTAGGGACCACTTGTGGTGAAGACATATATAAAGCTGTTATAGAATATTTCGAAAAATATAAATTAGATATGAAAAAACTTATTTCAATAACAACAGACGGCGCACCATCGATGATTGGAAATAAAAAAGGTTTTGTTCAGAGACTAATTAATAATCCGAAATGCAATAACAAGATAATATCTTATCACTGCATTATCCATCAAAGTGTGTTGTGTTGCAAGTTAAATTTAAATCTCGAAGCTACAATGACACAAGTGATCAAAATAGTAAACTTTATTCGAGCCAAATCATCATTGAAGCATCATCAATTTAAATCATTTATCGATGAAGTTAAATCACAATATGGTGATTTACAGCTATACAATAATGCAGGCGCTTATCTAGAACATATTTACGGGGGGGGGGGGGGGCATCTTAAATACATTTTCTGCCTGATAAAAACATTGTACATACTATGTATGCTAATAGGCAAATATTATTATTTAAACCCAGTTTATCAGTACAATAAAATATATAAAATAATTTGATTTGGCACTATGCTTTGACATTTTAATAAAATAATAATGCACCTATACACGTGTCACGTTTGATGTTGATTATAGACAGCGGCTGTGTGCGTATTGTATCGATTAGATTAGCTTTTTGGCGGCGACCGGTAAAAACGGACACGGCCGAAACGCTATCGGCAAAACAATACATTTTATCGGCTGCCGAAAATAGATATAATAGAAAATCCACCAGTCTACGGGGGGGCATGACCCCTTGCCCCCCCCCCTTGGATCCGCGCCTGCAATAATGTAAGGTGGTTGAGCAAAGGTTTTGTACTTCAACGATTTTTCGCAATATTGGACGAGATCAAGTTATTTCTTTCTAGTAGTGATCAATTATGTGCAAAAGACTATTAAGATTTCTTTGAAATAAAAGAACATGTCATATCTATCGCTTTTTTGACAGATATATTTAAACATATCAACGATTTAAATTTCAAACTACAAGGTAAAGGAAAATTAGTGTGCCATCTACTGTCAGAAATCAAATGTTTTTCAAGGAAAATGGATCTCTTTTGTGAAGATATAGAAAATGAACGTTTGCACTTTCCTAACTTAAATACTGTTTTTGATGACGCTGAAGATAATAATGATATTGACCTCAATCAGTTCATTAATTTTATAAAGAAACTTAAATCTGAATTTGAAGATAGATTTACTGATTTCAAAAAAATTGAGAATGTAGTGCAAATTTTGAATAATTGTTTTTATTTACATCCCAACGGCGAATGGAGTAGTGAAGCCGCAAGCGTCTTTGGCTCCAATATAAAGCTGCCCTACAGATGGAGATAATCGAATTGCAGGAAGACTTAGTTTAAAGGAAAAATGTATTCAAGTCACCAACACTTTACAGTACGATCAATTCTGGATGAAATACGTTTGTTCAAATAAATACCCAGAACTAAAACGCCACGTTTCAAAACTGTGTACAATGTTTGGATCAACATATGTTTGTGAAGCAGCTTTTTCTAAGATGAACTTCATTAAAAACAATTTCAGATCTCGGTTAACAGATGAACATCTTAACGAGTTAATGCAAATCAGTTGCACCAACTTCACACCAAATATTAGGAAGCTCTTGAAAACTAAATAATGTAATTTTTCACATCAAAAATGAAATATTTCAAGTATAATCTTTTTTTTTTTTGCAAATTCAATTTAAATAAATAAATAAATATAAATACAAACTTAAAAATGTATATACCTATTTATTAACGTGTGTATAATACAATTTGAATAAATAAATAAGTATAATCACAAATTTATAAATTATAAATACCTATTTATTAACGTGTGTATTAGGTTATAAATAAATAAATATAAATACAAATTTAAAAATGTATATACCTATTTATTAACGTGTGTATAATACAATTTGAATAAATAAATAAGTATAATCACAAATTTATAAATTATAAATACCTATTTATTAACGTGTGTAAAAGTCATTGAAACTGTTTGGACCGCGTAAAGTTTGGTAAGTTTCAAAACGGACCCCCATAGAAATTAGTTGGTGACCCCTGCAGCTCTATATGTATCTATCTGTACCAACGTCGGTTTTTATCATTATTATTTATTATTTTAAATTGTGGTTATTGTCGAAGAAAAATCCTTAAAAAGCCCGGTCCAACCCTTTATTTTATTTCAAAGGCCCGGCCCGGACCAATGTCACTACGGGCCAGCTTTTTAAAGACCGGGTCGGGCCGGTCCGGCCCTTGCAGGTCTTTAATGCTTATGTGAATATTTGGTATGTAAAAATTTCAACTAATAATATTACCATCTGCGGTTATTTGATTTTGAGTTAGCTACACCAAATTTTGAAGAAAACTTACACGTTTGTTTATATACTAAACAATTATTATGATCTCCTCATCAGTATGGTGCTTTCCCTATGTTGAACAGGTTGGAAGCATTAGAAGTGACGATCGAAAACCAACTGCTTATTATTATTCGTGCTTGCATACCAAACCTGAAATGTTGAGATATTTCCATATTATAGAATACAATATGTAGTTTTAAAAGATATTTTCAATATTATATTTTATTTGTCATTTTGACATATTTATATTGTACACTTTTGAATTTACTTAAACATAACTTTTGATAATATAATACAATTAAGATTTATAATCATATTATTGATTGCTTAATCATTTTGATTATTATTAATAAACAATATTATATAACAATTAAGTTTTTATTTTTAAATTCTCTATTTTAATAATTAATATTATATATTATACTGCTTATATTAGGCATATAGCTTATATTAATAATAATATTATATACTTTATGTATATAATAATAAAAAGCGTGGGAGTTCTAAAAATTAAAATTAAAATTTTCACTCGACCGTACGAAGTGTCCGCGTTCTGCAATGTACCCTTTACCAGACCGTACAAAATGTCCTCGTTTCACACTTTTAATGCTTGACCGTACAAAGCGACCTATAGAACCAAAACAAATAGATCCCTCAAAATTTAATAACGATAGTTGATAATATCAAATAATCAATTCAAGTCAATGTTTATTGTACTTTTTATTTAAACTTTAAAACAATGTTATGAATCAGTTTAAATTATTTATTTTATTTTATCACTGTGTTGTTATCATTGTGTATCTTACCTTTACATTTTTTTCTGTCGCTGGGAATAGGTAAAGTTGACGGAGTGATCGTTTACAAAAATACGGTACAAATCAATTGTAAAACGAATTGAACTTTTTGAAATATTTTAACAACTATATTATTTTCTAGAAAATATTTTTACCATAGTTGGGAAATATTTTTTATGCTGTGTGAGATATTAGTATTATAAAATACTCATTGGGAAATATGCAGAATAAGAATTGTGATTATCTGTCGTGAGTATAATACTCTCCGGTCGATCGGCGTGTTTTCTTCGAGTGACTCAATGAAATGGACGCAGCGGGCTTTCGTGACTTTTATCGGATGATCATTTTTATCGTCCTGACCTCGGTCACAGTTCTGATGATGGTCCAGATGTTCGTCGTCACCACCGACCTAACGCTGTTGCCTGTTGGCGAGGACCATGTAGACATTTGGACCATGCTTTTCCCGGGCATGTAGGTACAAATGGTTTTACATGACGGTGTTCAATGGCGAATTTGCCCAGCTCCAAACCAAACTGACGGCAATACAAGCTCAAGGATTGGCGGCGTACGGAACCTCGGCCTCCGCGTTTACGTCCAACTATTTAAAGCCAATGCGAAACATTAGCTGTTGGTATATGTTCAGTCAAAATAAGTAATATGTTTGTGCAGTTAGAAAAAATCATTAAAAAATACCCTGGACATGTGTACCTATAGGAAATTAAATATTGGTGTCACTAAATTTAAAACGAAACCCGTAATCAATTAAAATTAGGTACCTACTTATATACTTTAAGTCTAAACAATGTTGGTTTTTAAATAACATTCACCTTTGTTATATGTTATGTTCATATAAAAATGCATTAGTATTCTGTATTGTTTTTAATTTTTTTTTTTTTATTGATCTTGAGCCTGGAAACTAAGACCATTAGCTATTTCTGTTTTATTTGAAGGTTTTAGTTGGTAGGGGGAGGAATACTTGTGTGTTTGTTTTGGCAGAATTTTTGATTTGGGCACCCGTAGGTATCTGGGGATGGTGGTACTTATTCTCCGGACACCGTGACTTTTCCGAAGAAAAATGACGCCCGCGACCGAGGTTTCGAACCAGCGTTGTCTGCGTCGCAGCCGACGCCTCAGTCCGCTCGGCCACTCCGTCCCCCGTTTTTTAAATTGTTAATAAGTATAAACACTATAGTAGTTTGTAACTATTATATTATTATTATTATGATGATGTATAAGTTCTATGTCGTATATAAATTGATATTATACTGTGTTAGCTATTATCTAAATAAACATATTATTATAATATTATGTGTAAATATTTAATACTGTGCTGGCTATAAATATTATTTTTATTTTTATAGGAAGCTGGTTGTTGTTTATTTTTGACGACGTTAAACACTTTGTAAATGTTTAACCGAATAAAATGTATTAGTTAATTTATATTGTAATATACTTAGACAGTGAATTGTTTTAATAACTTTATCGAATAAGTTTTTTACTTTGGTTTTTATATCATAGTGTTTAAATTAAATTGAAGTAAAGTAAAGTAGCGTTTTCAATTAATTTGATTTTTATCCACGACTTAAAATGGCTGCCGACACAGAACTTAGTACCTACTCCAAGTTTCAAGCACGAAGTCATCCAATATTAAGATGTGGCTGCAGCTGGTCGAAGTTATGCTAAAGGTATGGTTGTAGTTAAATTATGTTTTACTTGAGCATTAAAATTACTCA